AGATGTCTCACTGGGAGCTGCGCACTCTTGGCAGTCTGCTCTTGATTGAGAACGTTCAGCACTTGAATATATCTTACATCACATCTCCTTTTTAGAAAACTGAGCAGGTGGAATTTGTAGAACTGAAATAGTTTTCCCCCACACAGCAATGACTGTAATGACACCTCCCCAGAGAAAGCAATTTGTATAAATTTAGCACAAGTTCCTGTGACTCTTACGTACAGCATATTTTAAAACAATACAGCCGTCTAGTGGTAATACTAGCTGCTAAAAATAAAGTAATCATAACTGCATATTTTTGCTGTCCAATAATTGACACTTCTAGAAAATGGCATATTTGGTGTTCACTTGGATCTATATTAAGGGATATTGCCTAGAGAAGCCAGGCTTCAACTCAGAATACTGTTGGCATACTGCATCTTCAAGCACATTTGGAATCAACTGTGCCTAAGAGCAGACAGGTCTCATGATCAATTCCGGAAACACAAACTGTGGGAATCTGGCATGCTTTTTAGGGCTTAATAAGCGGGGAGCTTAGCCTAAGTAGATGATGTAGTATAGCATACGGCACAGAGCATAGGGCATGGCGTTCGGAAGTTCTCGTGATGTAACGGGAAGTTAGGAGCATAATTAATACACGCAGCTTACTGATAACCCCATGCCATACAAGGCAAGAAGTAGAAATTAGTCTCCTGGTTGGGCAGTAGGTGAGTCTCCGCATTCTACTGGAGTACATATGCAGACTGAACTGCTCAATAAACACCATTTGCTGCATCCTCATATTGGTGTCTGTGCTCTGTGGTCCTGGGGCAAGGACAACCCCAGGTCAGTCCAGCTAGAGAACAAGGCTTGCCGACCCCCGTCGGCAACACAAACGTTATGCACGAAAACATTTTCTCAGTAAAGATGAGCACCTGATATTACTTCTTACTTCTCATTCTTAGACCTCTTTGCACTACATCTCATCATGGGCAAATATGTATCCTCTTACTTATCTAGATGGGCCTGTTATCAGGATATTCAAATCAACTAGTATCAATATAAATGGAAGAGAGTAAATATTTTTCAAGGTAAGACAGAAGAGGCACCTAGATTTATGATTTCAATTGTCAAGAAGGCACTTCCTGTATTTATTAGAGAGACAAAGACTCCCTTCTTGTCCAAAGAACAAATTTACATACAAAGAAAGGGATGGCAGAATATGAAAAATTATCACAATTAGTAATATTTGCTAGCTACAGCTTTTTCAAGAAAATATAGTAGTATTTCAAATTCAACAATCCTTGAATAACAAGTAGGCAAGCCTAGAGCTGCAAGCAGTATTAGCAGTTGAATTATCGGAGCTAAAAAACAGGAAGGGCAACACTGACAATAATCTCTTCAGAGTCTGAACAAACAAACTTACTTTCCATTCATTAGTTACCCTCTGCATTAGAAATGTTAACTAATGAAATCCTCTTCTTAAGAAGCAATGAAACGCAGACGGTGTTGGAGTGGAGCAGCAGCGGCCTGTGGGAGCTCCTCAAGCGCTGTACAGGGAGCTCTTAGGACAGCTAGAGGATGACACAGTCTATCAAAAGAGAGTCCCATATTACAGGCAAGAAAGTGACAGGCATTTGGGGTATTTAATTCAAGTCAGCTTATAGGGCAAATGGCAGTGGGGCCCTCCCACAGAGCCAACCTATCTCCCGAGATGTTGCTGCAAGAAGAGGCAGCGCACTCTTACCTCAGGCAGGGGAGAGACAGGCAAGCTGCCTGCAAGGAGATGGAGGCAAGCAACATGTCTTTAAAGACGGCCCTCCGCGTTGAATATGCACTTGTTATAGCCATGGATGTCTCCTCTGAGTTCTGCTATGAGGAAACAGAGTGGCGACAGGACTTCCTAAGAGGAGCATCTACTGTGAATGTCACATGTGAGGGACAAAGGAAGGGGATGGGAGGGGAAATTGCCACGTTTCTCCTCACAGCCTCTTGTCGGCATTTTGAACTGCCACACTGGGAGCAGAAAGCACACGAGGTGGCAGCGCAGGGCTGGCCTGACGTGGGCTGAGCTCTGCCTTTTGTCCCACTCCCATTTGGGGTTTATGCTCCCTGAGAGGCCCCGTCTGAGCTGCAGCAACAGCTCTGGAGCAGACTCAGAGCCAGAAGCACCGCACATTATGGCTATTAGCTCCTCTTCCTCACGGCCTCGTTTGGCCATTTAGGCTGTATAAGGAGCTCTCTCATCTCTCTCCTGCCCTTTTACAGGGAGGAAGAGGACTTGCGATGCCAGAGCTGCTCTTTATAGTTCTGCGTAGACCGCTATCATTAAGCTACCACCAATGTATTGTTCTTTGCCAAAAAGTTCAGAGAACTTTATACACGTGGCGTTGTTTTGCACACAAACGTAGAAGCCAGTTGGGTGTGGATATGGACATGAATTCCAGTTCAGGTTTCCCTATAAAAATTGTGGGAGTTGGAGGTGTGATACTCTACGCAGTTCTGCAGAAAAAGGGTTTAGCCTGTATTTTAAATCTCAGCATTTTTTTTCAAATATTTTCACTTCATTTGCTCAAAAAAGCATACTTTTAAACTCCCTAAGTCACGTGAAGTTATTTCCAATAGGCGGGAGTTTTGTTGGATTTTCTGTCTAGGTGAAGGTGCAGGAAGAGAAGGGCCAAGAGAAAGCCAAAGGTGCCAATACCATCGTTATGGCAAAACCCTTCGGGCCAAGGCTTTCTGCAACAGTTGGAACAGAAGGGCCACGGGACGCCTGCCAGTGCTGCTACACAAATCCTGATAGATATCGGCAACCCAGTAAACATGACTCTCATACTAATTACAGTGTTTTGCTGCACATTTCCCAGAAGCTGTAGCTCCTTTCATTCAGCACAGGCTCTCCGAAGTTAACTAAGCCGCATTCACTGATCTAGACATTATAATCACTTCACCTCTCAGTAAGAGGGAGAGGCCTATAAACTCTATGGCAACCAATAACACCACCTACAAAAGTTCTCGACAAAAGGGTGTTTTTTCCTCAGCATGCTCACTGCTGCCCCGCAGAAACCTTTAGCAGAGTCAAGTGGAAGCTTATGGAGCGTACCGGGCATGAGTTCCCTCTTCAGAGGGGGATAAATCGCCCTAACAACATCTACAGCTTGAGGTCGATCACACTCGCTCTCTGTGCCATTCCTAGCTGAAGCCTTCCGTATAAACAGTCTAAGTTTGGTGAAAAATAGAAGATGAGAATCAGGAAAAGCTTAGATATGGGAAGTCCTCCACATCTTAGTCCTCCGCATCCACAGTCTTACCGTGGGTGATAGGAACTAATCTTCTAAGAAATCTTCTGTGATTAGACAGAAATTACTTCTGTGTCAAAAATTAAAATTGTACTGGACCAAAATAGGTATTTTTTATTCCTATACTTACTCCCTCTGTCACAAGTAAATAATCAGAAGCAGCTTGCTCTGTGAAAAGAACTGATCATTCATGTAGATACTACTTTTATAGGCACACACACATATACATATATATATGACTCATTTACTTGATTTAGGGTAAAGCAGTATGCATGCCAAATTGTGATATTACATGAAAAACAGGTGTTAGTCTTTCTGGACAAAAAGCCAAAATATCTCTTTTGTTAAGACTGATACTCCATTCTGCTTTTCATTTGTCCCTTCCACCACTCTCCCCATTTTTCACCACTAATTGCCAGTTTCATGCCTTGTTTGTTACCCTGGGCTAGGGATATGATCGTGCTGCTCACTGAATTGCTCTGGGAAGTGGCTCTGCTCAGGTCAGGGGAACCGCTTTTGCCATTACTCATTATCTGAAATGAGAAAAGCATAACAGTTATGGAAAAAGAGAATGATATCTACCTAAACCAGCATTTTCCTCCAAATGTAACCCCTTACTTGCTCCTTTAATAGCTATTTTTATGATTTGCAAAATGCTATTGTCCAAACTTCTTTTTGTCTGCAAATGCAGTTTTTTAGAATAAGTTTAAAATAAAATCATTAATTTCACATTTTCTATACATATTACAATAATTTGAGCACTTTTTAAAGAGCTTTTTTTTCCTTTGGCTAGTGTTAGCCCATTTTGCTTAATGCTACTAAACAACCTGTTGTTATTAGGGTAGATCTAGATCTTCATTCCTGTCTCTGATTGATTGGGATTTTGTTTTTTACCCCTAGATCTTTGTGTCTTATTCTTTGCAACTCAGAGGTCACCTTGACGATGCCTCCCTGTCCACTGTCTGTGGACTGGGGACGGTGCCGCAGGGACCCACATGGGCACCGCAGGGCTCCCACAAACTGGGAACCAGAACCATGGGACATGGAACATGGAACGGGGGCGCCCCCAGGCACGGGCAGAGGCGCCACCCTAGCAAGGCCTGCAAAGGAGAAGGGGCTGGAGGCCGTGGTCAGGGAGAGCATGGGCCCGCGCGGCTCCCCGCGCTCGCCCCACACACAGGCTCCTCCGTCACCCTGGTGGGCCCCGCAGCCACCAGGTGCCCCCGCCAATGGGCGGCCCTGCTCATACCTGAGCCAAGGGGGCAGCAGCGCAGGGCTCTGCCCACGTGGCAGGGACCCTGACCCCCCGATGTGGGGTGTCTGTGGGGAAGGACCCACTAATATGGGGGAGCTCCTGATATGGGGGAGGGCAGCCAATGCCGGGAGACATAATGGGGGGCAGGACCCCCACTGGGAGGGACGCCGATGGCGGGTGCACATCGAGGGCACTCACCGATGCGGGAGGGCTCCCACTGCTGGGGAGGGCAACGGGGGCGGCCGCTGGGTGGGGGAGCCCCGGAGCCGGGGCGCCGCTATGCGCGGGGACACGCGGCGGGCGCGGGGACACGCGGCGGCGGCGGCGGGCGCAGTGCGCAGGCACGGCGCGAGCGGCGCCCCGGGCGCTGAATAAGACGCCGCGTCTGGGGCCGGCGCGGCGCAGAGCGGCCATGGGGCCCGGCCCGTGGAGCCGCAGCTAGCGCCGCCGCCGCCCTCGCCCCGCCGGCCGCGGCGTGGGGCGCAGGTAACGCGGCGCGGGCAGCGCGGCGCCGGGTCGCTGCGGGCGCCGCGGGCGGGCGGGCGCGCGTGACCCCCGGGCGGCGGCTCCCGCCGTCCCGCACAAGATGGAGGGGGGCGGCGCGGGTCAGCCCGCGGCGGGGCCGGGCCCGGGCTCCCCCCTGCCCGCGAGGTGCCGCTGCCGCGGGGCTCGCGCCGCGCTGGGGAGCGGCCATGGCGGCCGTGGCGGCACGGGGCAGCCGTCCGGGCAGCGGGACGTGTCTGTGGAGGCAGCGGCCGCTCCGCTCCGCGGGGCCTCTCGTGGGGGCCGCGGGGTCATGGGGGACGCGGGATGGGGGCAGTGGGACGCGGGGTGATGGGGGACGGGGCAGCGGGGCGCCGAGGGCAGCGGTTGCAGGGCAGTGGGATGTGGCGCGCCGAGCTGCCCTTCTCTGTCCTGCTCAGCCCTGCCCTGCTCTGCCCGTCGCTTTGCGGAGCGTGTGGGCGCGCTTTTCCCGGTGGTTTTCCTTTCCTTGGCGTGCGCCGGCCTCGCACCCTGCCTGCTCGCCAGGCCGGTCGCGTCTCTGCATCAGCAGAGAGCAGTGAAGCTCCAAGTAAACAGGGGCAGGTTTCGCCATGGAAACTGAAGTTGCCAGGGGAGCCCTGCTGCGCTCCAGAGCTGCCATCCTGCGTCCCGCATGTTCCCGGCATCTCCGGCTCCAGCGGTGGGAGACTTCCCAAGAGGAAGCACCCTCCGTGGCCAGCGAGCCTCTCTGAGCTCATGCATCATGCAGATCTGGGGAGCAGCGACTCTCTCCTTGCAGCCAGAGTTTCCCAACATTGGAGCTTGCAGCTGCTCAGCCATAAAGGTGAAACAAATACGCAGCAACACCCCACGGATGGGGCTGATGCCGTGTTAATTCATCCTGTGTAAGCTGACACCGTGACACACGTTCCCCTCGGGTGTATGGAGAACCGCTTTCTCACGACCGTTTCATTTCCTCCGCCCCGTTCCTACGTAGCCAGAACCACAGCGCAGCCTCCCCTGCAGCCGCGAAGAGAGACCGGCCCCAGCTAAACTACCAGGCGGCTCCAATGAGCCGTCCAGGGGTGGGCAGCCTGCCCTGTCTCCAAGGGAAGCAAAGCAGGAGATTATTCATCAGCGTAAGGGCAGGAGTCCATGCACACACACACACAAAAAAAAAGGGGCATGTGCTGTAGGAGGAACATAATGGAGTCCTTGAAAAGAGTTAATGATGCTGGTAGCATCACCTTCATTTTTTTTTTTTTTTTTTTTTTTTCATTTTAGAAGGTGACTCTACTTAGATGCTCCAGCAACTCTCAACCAATAGATGGTTCTTTTGTTTTGATCCATGGTCAGCCTCACAAGCTCGTAGCATTTGGCTCATATTCTTGACCACAAGCAGCTACTCCTGCTTTAAATTGGTAAAGAGGTTGTGAAATGTGATTCCGGGCCCTATCATTCGCACAGATGAATTCCTCACCAAGACATTAGAAACTCCAAGCCATGCTATTTCTCTCTTTGTAAATCAATGTTTAGACAATACAGTTAATTCAAGATAAACATAAATATCTATATCAATTTTTGGAAGTCAGTTCACTTTTTTCACTTCCCATTGAGTTTTTGTGACTTTGTAATATATTATATGTATGATTTTTGTATACTACACTTACTGGTTCACATTCAGCAGTGGCTTCACTTGCTTTCCAGAATCCTGAAGAAATAAGGCCGAAAACTGACTGCAGCACCTTGGGTGGCAGCACAAATGACCTTCAAGAGGCCAGGCTGTCTGGCAGCAGACCTTGTCACAGTGGGTCAGCCCTTCTCCGTAGCCTTGACCCCACGGAGGCCCCTACACCCTGCCCTTCTGCCCCATGCCTGGTGCTCAGTGTGCTTAGCTGAGCAAGCCAGGTTGGAAGGAAATTGCACATAACTTCTTGAAGGAGCTGGGGTTGGTGTGGGAGTGAAGAGGACATTCTCCTGTGGAGCTTTTGTTGGCTGCCGTGTCTGCTGCTCTGTGAGATGCGGGAAATGCAGTGCTTGCTTAAAGCTAACCAAGAGCGCTTTCGGGTGTGATATCCTTGAGGTAAATCTGTGATATCCTTGAGGAAAATCTTGCCCGAGCGAGCCCGTTCATGAGAGCTGAGGCAGTTAGGACACATTACATTATCTGGGTTCGGTTCCAGACACTCGTTTATGATGATTCTTGCCAAATTCCCACACGATTCCTCTCTCCCTTGCCTGTCTGCAGAATGGGAGCAGACAGCAGTTACCTCCTTCCACAACATTAATGGTTGTGATGATATTGAAAAGGCTTCAGAATACTATTTTTATAGGCCAAGCCATTTCTCGTTTTTACTGAGTATCACTTTGTTATTCTTTCTTTTAATCGTGAAGCTTTCCATGATTTCTCTTTGCAGTATGCTTTGCTGGCTGCCCTTGACTGAATTGGAGTGGCTTGGTAATCTAGTGAACTATGTGAAGCTGATATAAACTGAGTTGTGACTTTCTGGTGCAAGTACTCATGAAGAGTCCCCACTGCACGGAGACTATCTTTAACTCCTTAAAAAGAAATCGGTCAGCTTAAATAATGCTGACCTGTATTGACCTCAGGCTTTTTGTAGGGGCTAGTATTACTGTAATGCACTCAGTAGCATCAAACTTATGCAGTCTTGTTCAGGCCTGGGACCTAATTTGTTAAATACAGAGTTTTTTTTGTGTGTGTTTATGTATTAGCAGGGCTTTGAGGATGGGGAAAGAATGGAAACATTGTCAGCACTTTTGATAGTAGGGAAAGTTCTAGTTTAAAAAGCATCTCATTGTGAGCTTGGACATTGACTTGGGCAGGTCACCATGCTGATAGAGCATTCACCTTTTTCATTTTTACCTGACCATGTTTAAGCACAGGGTTTGTACAGCCCCAGCATGGCTAGACTTCTACCTATACTTAGTCCCTACCTATATAATTCAAAGGCTCAGGCAAAAACGGAGATTAAAAAACCTTACCCAGCAGTTTGGAAAACTTGTAGGTTGGCTCTTCTGCAGCATCACTAACGAGGCCTGTCTTTTTTTAATGAAACCCTTGGTTGCAGGTAGGAAGGATGAGCTCCTACGCTGACATCTGCGGCTCCAGGCAGGCACAGGGCAGCACTGAGGGAGGCCAACAGCGCTACGGAGTTCGCTCCTACCTGCATCAGTTCTATGAGGACTGCACGGCCTCCATCTGGGAGCACGAGGATGACTTTCAGATCCAGCGATCGCCGAGCAGATGGAGCTCTGCGTCCTGGAAGGTATTGCCCATGGCTGGTGATTGCAGGGAGAAGCTCCTCCATGTTGAGATTTTCGCAAGGAACTCGTTATTTTGGCCCAAAAAGGCCCTCTGTTGCTCAGGTGTCAGTGAGATGAGTGAACAACCGTCCTCCTGAAAGCAGGGCTCCTTTACCAAGGGGCATCAAATTGTTGGGTCTTTGGATACTCTAGTTTCCCTGTCACAAGGAGCCCTTTCACTGAGACATCCAAAGCAAGTAGCCCCGTCTGGGAAATGCTGCCTGTAGCACGCTCTGCTCCCAGCTGCAGAGATCTCTTCCCGTTGTTAGGAATAACGATAGCAGGCCAAGAGCAGTGACACTAGGAGGAAGTGAGGCATCCATCAGGAAAGCAGGAAGACTTTTCCTTAAGGTTAGGAAACTTGACAGAATCTGAGAATTAGTGAGATAACCACGGTGGTCATCTGATCCAAGCTCTCCACTCAAGGTAGGGCCATCATCTGCAAATCAAACTTACAGTTAAAATGTGCTAGAAATACTTTGTGATCAGCTCGTGCTAGAGCAACCTCCTCCATCCTGGCAAGGGAGTGACACTTTGCGGAGGAAAAGAAACACGAGGGATACAGCATAGACCACGAGCAGGGATTGAAAGGGTGGTGATTAGTTAAAATAGTAATTAATTACATAGAGCTGTAGTTAAATTGTGATCCTCTCTCTGTGACTGACCTTGTGTAGTAGCTTTCATAGGTGAATGTGCCATTTGTTTCCAGAAATGCCAATGTACACCCTAATTTATATAAGGATTAATTGCAAAAACATAGTTTATCCACATGTTCTAGTAAGGCCATATATGAGCTGAAAGAAATCCAGCAAAATTCGTTTAGAACTGAGCGCTGTTGCTGCAAACACTGTCCAGCCTAAATGCCTTCCATTACCACTTGCTAACTGGAAACACAAAGGCCATGTTCCCTATTAAAGGTCTCTGTTTTTCAGGTGGGACTCATCTCTGGAACGATTTTTATGCTGATAGGCTTGGCAGTTCTCGTCGTCGGTTTCCTCGTGCCCCCAAAAATCGAAGCCCTGGGGGAGAATGATTTTGTGGTGGTCGACCACCGCGCCATGCAGTTCAACAGGTCCCTCGACGTGTGCAAGCTGGCGGGGGCTGTCCTGTTTTGTCTCGGAGGGACCGCCGTGGCCATGTGCTTGCTGGTGTCTGCTTTTGCTAAAAGTTACTCCAAAGAAGAGAAGTACCTCCAGCAAAGATTTAAAGAGAGAATAGCTGATCTGAAAGCCCATGCCAACCCTGTCACAAAAGCGCCAGCACCCGGAGAATCAAAGATACCTGTCACTCTGTCCAGGGTTCAAAACGTCCAGCCTTTGTCTGAAACCTGAGCCCTCTCCTTTAGGTTTGTTTCTCACTTGTACATCAGTTTATCGGGAAATATCAGCTGTTGTCGGCATACCTGCTAGTAATTACATCAAGTGCGCTGCTATACAAGCATACAGCTGACTGAGAACCTGCTCCCAACGCAGATTTAGGACTGGAAGAAGTGAAATTAGAGCTGTGACCAGTGTGTTCAGTGTGTTAAAACATTTTAACCTATGTTGAACCAAGGAGTCCTTGCAACAGTGATTAGCCATTTAGCATTATCAGACCGTGGCCCTAGAGAATAGATGGTTGTGACAGCTGCCCTAGGGGCAGCCTGCATCCCCCTGTTCATATGAGCTGGCCCTTTTGTTTTGGTTTGGTTTCTTCATGCTTTTCAGGTATTGTTTGGTCTTACTCCCCGGCCGTGCTGCCCGGGGAGCTGAGGTTCTGCCCTTGTAACTTGCACTCGTCCTCCCATCTCGTTTGTCTCCCGCAGCGAAGGAAGAACGTGCAGGTAGCACAGGCGACACCTTGGGCTGCCCTTAGTTTGAGCCCAGCACCTTCCCTGTGGTGTTACTGTCTGTTACTTTGCTTTTAATCATTGCTACATTAGCAAAAAACCCACAAAATCAAAGGAACTCATGGGAGGTTTGATACTGGTTCCTTCATCATGTTATGTTTGAAGCTCATAAAACCTTATTTTGGTTTTGACAGGATGTGGATTATTAAGTGTCATTTGACATGCCCAGGCCCCGTATTCTGTCAGTATATTGTTCTCATGTTAGATGACCCTAACATACTTACTTAAAGGCATTTTTAAATGCTGTTTATATTTTTATAGGTAATAGAGTTATGCTTAATCAGATAACATTTGTGCAAATGCTTACCTGAAGATTTGTCCTTTCACTGAAGAACGTTAATTCTTTTGTCACCTGGGGCAATTACTTCACTGTCTTAATCTATGGATTTAAATTAAACCATATAAAAGAGATGTGACGTTAGTATTCTCCAACAATATGTGCCACCTTATAGTTCTGTCTATTTTTTGAATGGATTGAATAAAATTCTAGGTCTGAGCCAATCATAGATTTTGTGAAAAATCTCAGTCTTCTTAAATGTATTTCTCTATAACATTTCATTCTGAAAGTAGAAATCAACGGTCAAAATCGACGGGTTTCTTAGGACAGCTTATGTTTCCAGATTTCCAAGTGAAAGAAAAAAAATCATCTTAAGGTTGAATCCAGATGCTTATACCCTAATGACAGGTATGTGATAACAGGTACACTCCTTTCCATGCTCATACAACATTTCTTGGTCCAGAACTCACTTCAGGCTTCCACAGCATAAATAAACCAGATTTTTTGTGTTTGGAAATTTCTGTTGTAAGAACTGAGAATCCAGAGAATTCCACTGGATCTGTAAGAGTTATGGTGGATGACAACATCATAGGTGAAACTGTATTATCTCTGAAAAGAAGCAAAACAGGCTACCTCAAATGCAGTTGCAGGGTCCAGCATTTGAACACAAGAGAAGATGGACAATTTAGAGCCTATCACAAATAAATGATTTCATAGACTAAAATGAAATAGGCCTTGGTGCATCAGAGAATTTTTTGGCACTGATAAATTAGAGGCAGAAAAGCACACTGCACCCAAAGCTTAAAAATTAGCTTGCATCTTTGGGGGCAAAGCAGATAGCCGGTACTAAACAGGGTGAAATGAGGAGGCTGGTGAGGAAGCAGCTCCATGAGGCTCCAAGGAAAGCCAGCAGGGATATTCCCAGTGAGCTTCTGCAGGCCAGGTGAGGGCTGCCGCTCGCTGCTGGTCGTGAGTTACCTCGGGTCCTCATTGCTTTCTTCTCAATCTGGGTTGAATTTTGTTTACTACGTCTTCCTTTCACTGCTGTCAGGCCAGCGGTGTGTGGGCGGCAGAGTCAGGCCAGCCTGACCCCTTCAACACAGCGTTTTTAATTAAAAATTGCACGTAGGGGGAAAAAAAAAAAAAAAGTGACATTAAATTTTGCAATGAAGTTCACTGAAGGAGATGAGGGTCATGGGTCTGCATCTATTACTGAGGCCCATCTCTCCACCTATGTTTTGTCAATGCTACATGAAAGATTTGAGCAAAATCCCAGCCATGAAAGCAAGCATAGCTTGGGTTTGTTTATCCAAAGCAGCTCCACAGATCTGCAGCGTGCTCCAAAACACGCACAGCGTGGCCACCCGCCTTCTCCTGCCCAGGTTTTGTCCAGAGGATGGCAGACAGGATCAGGAACAGAGCAGGAATGAGCACTGGGCACGGGATAACGCCGGCCACGCTTCGACGCCATGAGGAGGGCTGCGTGGGTGAGTGAGGGCATTAGCCGTGCACGGAGGTAAGAAAGTTGGTGAAGCCTCCTGGGACAGGATGCGCGCCCGGGATTTAGCAGCAGAAGAAAAGCTGCTGACACAGGCACAGCTAAAGCTCTGCACAGGTTTCATCGCGTTAGACCCTCGTTGCAGTTGCTTAGCGCGGCTCTGAAACCAAGAACTGTGGAGGCTGAAATCTTTCACAACAGGCAATCTGTGCCAGGCGAGGCTTGTAGAAATGCTCAGTAGAAACATTCAGAGAGGGGGAAAAAAAAAAAAGAAAAAAAACGGCTGTTAAAATGTTTTCATGTGACGTTTCATCACCTTCGCAGCAAGGCCAGCGCGGCGCTTTCCTCGCTAGGTCTGGCCCGGCCTGTGGGGGTCACCCAGGCCTACCCTGGCAGCACCCACCTGCACCAGCGTGTTGCCCAAGGGGCTATCAATGGCCTCCCAAACGCAATTAAGTCCAACTCAAACAGCAGAGACCTGATTGCCACTCGTGGACCTCCCCACTCAACATCGATCTTTCAGCTTCTTCATGTCCACCCTGTTTTTTTCCCCCGTTCTGGTCTCATTTGGCTTGAAATTACAGTGAAACTCCTTCTAGGCCAGCACTATTTTCTCAGTAATCATGGTGAAAGAAATCACATTTTTTCAGCCTGACTGCTAATCACTGGCTTAATTTTGATTAATGCGTGCTCTCCTGATGGCTCCATCCGCTTCCCTTCCCGCCTTGCCCAGCAGTAGTTTCTCTTTAGCATCTATTCCCCTCTTCTCCCCCAGCTGTCCTGACCCCTTTATTTTCCTTGCAGTCCCAGGGCACAGTGACTCACAGGCTGAGGCGAAGCGGCAGGAACATCCCCTCCTCCCAAGCTGCCCGTCAGCACATTTAATTCCCAGCTTCTGCTGCAGGGCCCTTCGCAAGCGCAGGGCTCCTCATCACATGCGAGCACAAGGAAACTGCTGCATGGAAACGGCAGCGTGGGGAGGCTGCAGCCTCCTGACCAGCTCCTGGAGCTGGGAGCGTGGCCAGGGTGGGAGCCTGGAGCAGCCGCAGAGCCTGAGCCCAGGCACCTTGTCCACATCTGGGCTCCGCCAGGTCATTCCCAGCACACTGCTTGTCCCCGAGCGACATGGTGACACATGGGGAGACGGCACACACTTCTCTCCCGTTTCAAACATGTAGGGATCCAAGTGCACCTTCAGGGGCCTTCTGGTGTCTGGACAAGCAATCCACCCACACGCCGACTTTCTCCAGCTCTTTCCTGGACACTAGGCAGACCACACGGTGCGTGTTTCCCGCACTGATACACGTCATACACATCAAGCAGGGTGAAGTTCGGCTTTTCTCTCAGATAATTCACAGAGGGCTTGTCCTGCAGCTCACCCCTCCCATATTAACAGCAAGTCGGGGAAATGTTTCTAATGGACATGCAAACAGAAAAGGAGGAACACAAGTAACTGCTTTTACTGTTTTGTCTATTCACTTGCAGTCGCTTTTTGCAGGCTGACTTTTTTCCCTAATTCGCCATTTATGGGCTTTTGCAAATAAAGACAGAAGATCATTTTTAAATACTCCTAATAAGCCAGTCAATTTAATGCTACGCTCGGATATGCTGTTCCAGGAATTACATCTTCTAGACTAACTCCTTTAGTGCGTTGCTGAGCTAAAGGCACCCTCCAGTCTGATACGACAAATAATGCGTCTGTTCGGCTCGGAAGAGCCTTTCGGGAATGTCATTATTGCCCTGCGTCTGCTCTTATAATGACTTCAGCATCTGCTGCCCTTTCTCTCCGTCTCCTCCAGGAGCCTCATGCCCTGGCATTTCCTTCCTCAGGCTCTGCGTCCATTTGCAGAGCAGCGGTCGGGGGGAGGCATCGGGGTCCCTCGCTGCGGGGCGCCTGCCTGCCCCACGGCACCGGCAGCACCGGCGCGTGTGGAGAGGTGACATGGAAGCAGCCACAGGGAAGAGCCACAAGGGGGGAGGCCGCCAAAACGCAGCCCGTCAGACAGTGCTGCTCATCATCTGTCAATGAATATCAAAAGCACGGAAAAGCTCTAAAGCCCATGACTAGGACTGCGTGGCTAACATCTTGCTGGAAGCTGATATTTTAACTCTTTGAATACCAATATTCCTGCCCACCCCAGAGGGCCAGGCACGCACGAGTACTTTATCCCTGGGTGGCTGCGCTGCTTCTCACATGAGGATACATTGTCCCTTGAGGCTACAGTGAAAAAGAAATCTCTTCTGCCAGTTCTTACGCAGACCAAGGGCCACGCTTGAACTGTGCCCTTGCACGGGGATTTCTCCTGAAACTGGAGCAAATCTGTGCCGAGACACAACCCCTCATGCTAAAGACTGCTGTCTTTCTGAAGAAAAATAGACTATCTTCCTGAAAATATGAACAATAGAAGGGAAAACATTTAGAAGGCTGAATAGCACTCATCAGGACTTTCATGCTCCCATGAAAGGCTGATTACATTACAGCTCGTTAGAATTTAGTTTAAGCTGTTAGATGACTCTTATTTATAAATGTTTTAAGTGTGTTAGACACTGAGCATTTGAGGGAGTGGGAAGAAATGGCATAGGAACCACTGGCAGACAAAAGCTACCAACAGAAAAAGAGGGCAGAGTGTCAGTGTACAGATCTCTGTTTCTTCTAAATATTATTTCCAGGTACAAAAAATTCGAGGCAAGTATGTTTTCCAATTTCAATAGGTCATTGAAAAAAATCTTAATTTGGATAGTTTTGGATGTTCATTTAATTTCAGACTTTGGAGGATGAAGAACTTGCCGAAGGCTGTTCCAAGTCTCAACCTGCACTGATAGTGAGTCCTCTGCCTGGTAAAACACCGAGTTCAACCAAAGAGCCCATTCATGGCAATGCCAATGCAAGGTTTGCCTCGATTCAGCAGAGCAAGCCCACGCCTCCAATTAGGTCTACAAACTACCCAGGTCTGAGTGAGGCATGATGCAATGTTTGCCATTTTCCTGCCATGCCTTATGCAGAAGGCTCCAAGCGGGTAATCCCTGCTGCTTTCTCTGGCTGGTTAAGCGTTGTTTGATTGCTTTTATAACGCTACTGTGCAGATTATTCCACCTCAGGATTAATTAGAAAGGTACAGAGAGGATTTCTGTGTGTTGCTTCTGTCACTAGCACTTACAGCTATTTTATTCACTCTGCTCTTTTACCTCTGCTAAATTTTAAGTGTCTGCTTAAATCCCACTGACATCAAAGAGATTTGAGCAGAAGCTTAATTGCTCCAGCAAATCACAGAATCACATATATTTAAGACCTCTGCTACATTTTGAACCTATTTTGAACCAATCTCAAACATAGTATTTCCTTTTATCTTTATCAGACAAAGGACACACAAATCACAGATATTTTAGAATTACCACAGGGTTACAATGACCAAGACAAACAATTCTAATCTTGTTCCTACGTTTTTAGTGTACTATTTTTTATACTTACACTGCCAATGCTCAGAAACATGCTGAAGGATCTCTACATACTTCTACTCCATTAGAAAAATATATTCAATAATTGCTAGAAAAAGTGCAGATGTTTGTACGAGCTTCAATCGCTACAAATAGTTCTAGACATTCTTCAAGCAGTGCTTTGAGTTCAGTTACTTCATAAATGTCATATTTTCCTTACTGGCATGAAATCAACAAAAACGACAATTTCTCACAGCAAGCATTTATCAGCATTAGCACTAAAGAAACCCACTATTCCTTTTGTATTATTAATGAAATTATGCTCACAGTTGTATTTCTATGAACTACAAATTATTGAAATGACTAGCAGAGAAGCAGTAAGAGCGAGGGCATCGGTGTCAGGAGAACTAATACTGTGGGTCAGTGACTTATTCACTGTTGCAAACAAAGCCACAGACGGTCAGAAACCAGCCTGCTCTGGAAGACGATGATACACTTTCAAGCACCAAGGCTATAGAGACGATTCATAAGCACAAAACTTGCCACCAAGTTTTACACAAAACTGCTAGGCTTATCCCAACATGTTCCACTGACAGCAATGATTTCAAGATAGTTTCAGGCTGGGTTTGAGCTCATTCATAATTTTATTCATTAATAAATGAAATTTCTCATGGACTGATTCACAAATCAGTCCAAACTCATCTTTTTTAAACTCATCTGCTAGATTGCCTTCCTTTATTCTTTCACTACGTTAAATTTGTTCAATTGTCAGCACTTCGATCAGATACACACCCACTTCTAAAAGAGGACACAACCCTCGGAATTTAATAGGCTGTCCTACTCCACAGCCCAAACGCTAGTGATGCAGAACAGGAGAATCACCGAAGCTTACTGCTGAAGTGAGGACAAGCTGTGGTGGTGTAGGCTGCCTATGTGCATTCACAGCACTAAATAAAGGATATTTCTGAATGTAAATGATGTGAATGATCCTAAAGAACATGTTGGAAAGCTGCTACTCAGGACCATCAGGACTGACTCCTCATGGTAGCACACCATTTTTAGTGCGCGGAACTCCACTGACTGAAGAGCCTATCCCTTATATCCTAATTTTAAGCTTGGAAAACACATGTATTGCATGGAATCTAAAAGAATACTACACATTCCCATTAAAAGTCACAATCATATCTCTTTTCTAAACTAATCTATACAGAAGTTCTGCCATCCAACTCACCTGTCTTTTTTTCCTTTTTTTTTTCTCTTACACGTTCTAGAACAATGTCATACATATGGCTGATTCTAGCACTGTTGACCACTTTATAAAACAGAATAGTTCTTTAATTTATGATATTACTATAGAAAAGTCTTACATTTTTCCCGCTCAAATTCCATCAGAAAGTCACACCTTGAAACAATAATTCAATCTTCTCTTCATAAGTATTAATGTTTATTATCTATGTCATTCCATATTGCATTATCTCAAGACTCTACATGTGGTACTCAACTTTCTTCCCATTATAAATTATCAATCAGAAACAATAACACCCTCTATATTTAAAATATTGTAATCCTTCATTTTCTCCTCATTACATTTTTTTTTTTTTTTTGTATCTATGCAACTGCAGCATAGTCACTGCTCTGGTCATTTTTTTCACTTTCTTGTGGGCTGGTGATTGTCACCCTTGGATTTGTGGATGCTCTTCCACGAGGGGAGTCAACCTAGAGAAAAAAAGAATCAAAGCCACATGATACTAAGTTCATCGAATCACAAAGATTTCACTTCATTTCATTTCAATACAGTGTTAGCACATCACTTTAGATTTCCATGAGGAACTGTTAAAGTGAAAAAAATATTTTCCAAAAGCGATCTTGTTAGCACTCTTGTTTAGTTTACACTTATATGATTTCCAAAGGGGAAAGTACTTAAATAAGTTCTTTTCTCCCTCCTTCATCAGACATCAGGTTGCCCACATATCCATTTAAAGTGAACATTCACTTGTTTTCTCCACTTCCATAACGACTTCAGCATCTCTAAAATGAATTTTCATCAACATATCAAGCACAGAATAAATTCAGGCCCCAAGAAAATGTCATGTTACTCAGCCCTCTGTTAACTTAATTGGAAAGTGTCCTTGTGCGTCATAGAAATAGAAGAAAAAAAAAGAAAAAATCTCAGTTGTAAGGAGGCACAGAGATATTCTGCAGGGCACAAGAGGCACAGGAACACACTTTCTTTTCCAGCTGTCCGCAGGCAGGGTTCCATAGCAGGTCGTTCTGCTTTTGGTACTCAGGAAGCCAGATGGGAAGTGACCGTGGCATTTGGCAAATTGAGCACTTGCATTTCCCAAATTCTGCTCAGTGGTCAGCTCACTTGACATTGAATATAGCTCATTTGATTCCTCTGGGCTGCCTGCCTCCGTGTAAACCAGCAGCCTTTTGTCAGCTACCCTAAACTACAGGCCCTTTGCTTCTAATCCAAACCAAGTGCCCTGTTTTTAAGGCTCAGTCTATCTAATCCCTTTTCTAACATTTTAGGAACGGAGATGAGAACTGCACAAAGCAATAGTGAAAATCCTATGTTAATCTGAACTTCTGTGAAAGCTCACTCACAAAAATAATAAATGTAGTTTGGAAATATATAAGGAGATATATATATATAGAATATATATTTCTGGTGCTTTTCTAGAAATTCTGGTGCTTTTCTAGAAATCACTAGATTTTTTTTCCAGCAAAAAAATCCAGCAAACTCACCAAGATTTATCAGTGCAAAAAAAACATACTTTCTCAATCAGAGGTCATATATTGTAATTACTGATGTAAGAGAATTATACTAAAAGAAAACAGCTTTCCCCAAAAAACTTAAGTTCTAGTAGATAATCTGAGGGCCTTATCAGAAGTGAGTTAAACAGAGAAGCCTAATGGTAAGACAAGTAACTTAAAACCAGTAATTTACAGATTTGAAAGCGTAAACATTTACCTGATTCTGATTGTCAGAATCCTCTTGTTCTTTTATTTCTTCTTCAAGCTGAAGGTCACTTTGGTTGTTGAGCTGCTCCATTTCCTCACCATTTTCTTCAGTTGCCTTGCCATTTGAAAGGGTGACCTCCTCTTCCTCTGCTTGGTTGAAATTCTCTCTTTCTTCTGGTTTATCATCATAATTCCCATCTAACTTTTTCTCACTTTCTTCCTCTTCTTTTCTTTCTTCAGCAACTTCCTCACCTTCCTTTCCATTCACTTCTGGATATTCTTCTCCTCCTGTATAGGTCTCCCCATCCTTGTCATTCTCCTCTTCTGCATTTTCTTCCTCATCTACAGTTTCTGCTGGTCTCTGATGAAAGGAAAAGCAGCAGCGTTATGAGACAATTTTAAGATAAATGCTTCAAGCAATGCTGAGATGTGACATTCATCAGAATCGGAACTGCACCATTACTGGGGAGCAAGCCTGCTAATGGGAGATTTATCTACACAGACAGAAAATGTTGCCCTTGCACTAACATCCTGTATTGCACTCGTACTCTACACAAAAACAGTTAGTGAGATCAAATATATTTCACAGGATTAACCAGTTTGACCATACATGCACAACCAGACCCAAGCAGATTGACCTCCCCCAACAATAGCTCTTTGGTTCCTGCCATTTCTGGTTCTTGACCATTGTGGCACTTAGCAAATACTTTTCTGTCACAATAAAATACTGCAGATCACGAGCCCCAGAGGTGATTCCCATTTGGACCACGGCACGGCACAGCAGCCAGTCCTGTCATGCAGCCTGTCTTCTTCACACCCACAGAAAAGGAGCAGGAGAGATGGTGCAGATGCACTGGTCACATCCATAACAACATTCATCTTCCCAGAGATCTCTATGTAGGGTTGCATAGTTATGATTTGTACGACTTTCTCTACATTTAAAGTTGAATTTTTCTGTGTGGAGTCAGAGAAGTATTTTGTCCCATACTGTGAAGATGGGTACACAGAAACTCACTGTAGATAAAGCCACTGGCAGCATCATTTGATGACAGCCTGCAAGACTGATGCACGTGCTACCTAGTTTTTGTCATTTGTCTTCCAGTTTCAGCTTTCAAGATTTACCTGACTGTTCGTGAACCAGTGCCCCCACTGCCAAGATGACTTATGCACTGGTGCATAAGCTTGAATGCAAATAAAGAGTAAAAATCCCACAGGAGTGAAAGGATGCCTGCCTCCCACACAGCCTTGCCAGAATCTAAACCTAGAGCAAACAAGCTAAAAGACAGGTTTTCTCTTAGTCAAAGATGATTAGAATTTTATTATCATTAGTGGTTCTTAAGTAGGCAGTTATCTGCTGCACAGCAATAAAATCTGAATTATGAAGTCCCATATCCTCTGTAGCACTGGCATTTCCAAGGATTTCCCTCATCACCTTCAACAGATGAGTAAAGGCCAGTTTAACACCACCACCAATTGACTGAAGCCGCCTGATGAAATACCTCGTTGTCACACTGACAGTTAAGCAGCAACACAGGACAACTTTATTATGCCAGGGCACAAGAACCTTTTGACACGGTGTCAAACAGGACAAGTTACTGCATCTTAACGAGCCACAGATTCCCAATTAGAAATGCTACATAGTTACCTGACTGGCTAAATACTAGCTCAAAAAAATGTTTTCTGAAGTATAATGGTCTCAATGTATTTCTTACTCAAACCTCCCTGCCTCACTTCCACCTGGTGGCATCAAACGGGTCCGATTACCACTGAAATAAAAATTAAAATCAAACCTTTACACACACCTTTAAAGAAGTCAGCACGTAAAAGCAAACTTGAGCCAATTCTCGTAGCTGTCAGCATATAAAGAGAGCAAACATCTGCAGAACCGTGAAACCTCTCGAATTACCTGCTAATCTGCCACATGTGACCTACTAATTTGCTTTCATTTAACTAAGAAAGTTTGCAAATTTGGATCCTGACAAGAACAGGGGAGCACTGGATGGATTTAATACACCAAACAATTCTCATCAAAAGCAGTCTTTTAGTTTGTCTTTAGCTTTTTTACGACAGAACAAACATCAAATGAAGAAAAAATAAGGAAAGATGTCAGTAAATGTGAGCTATCTTAATCAACAGTAGTAGTGTTCTAAGATCACTGCCATTTGTAGCTTGTGTTAACAGCACCTACTTGCTAGCAGGTATAAGAGTACATAGGTGTTACAGAATATGTGCCATGACCTTGACTGCCTTGGCATCATGGCTCATTTTACACCACAGAGAGGGGTGTGCAGGCTCCATGCCACCCCATCGTTACACACACATATACATCCTATATATCCCAGCGCATCTGCTTTTCCTGCCTTTGCTGCCTTGGCAGAAACCTTTGGCGTAGAAGCCCAGTGGCAGTAACTTCCTAACTGTTAGGTTAGCTAGATTCGTTTAGACCTTGTCTGTCTAAAATAGAAACAGATACAAATTATTTAAGAGTCGAAACTGTGAACAACATAAAAGTTAAACACAACATATTGTACTTTACCCAGGAACTTAGGGGAAGTTCATGGGGGAAGTTCACCAGCACAGGAGAAGCGCTTCAGAACACACAGCAGACCTAAGGCAGGACTGCAGGATGGAGAGTGAAGGCCAGAATCACCCATCAAATCACATGAGGCCCTTTACATGAAAAGCATGATATTTTCTGTTGAAATTTTACCGATCTATTTTGCTATGCTATAGAGTCAAAGAAATCAGTATGCTCCATATTAAATGCATATTCTTCAGTGAAAAGGGGAAATGCCTAGTAAGAGTTAGGTTTTTTTTGTTTTGTTTTTGTTTTTGTTTTTTTTTTTGTATTTAGGAAGAGAGAGAATGGTAATGTGCACATAAATATGCAGGGAAGACAGAGAGAGATTTGTCGGGTCTAAAGCCTGTGAATACTGTACATGCTTAGCTTTACTTCCCTGAGCATTTCCAGCGATTTCAATGAACCTGAAGGATCGAGCTAAAGCCAACAAATAAGTGCTTATAGGTTAGGGCCTAATTCAAAGTCCCCTGCAGTAAATGGCAACCTTTTCATTGATTTCAATACACTCCAGTCCTATCTCCACCTACAAAATGTCTATTGTGTACACAGGAAGTTAGTGCAAACTGTGTTCTTTCAGTCCAGATAAATCAGGATGTATCTACTGGAAGCAAAGTATGTTGAGTCAGAACTTAATGTCCTCGTAGAAATTATCAGGCTCCTTTTTTAGAAGTCAGCAATGATCTTGTTTACCCAGGGATGAGCAGTGACATTTCACATCTCAGTCTTTAGCTTTTTATCAGTCATCGTTTAAATAACCAGAATATTTCCATGAAGAGCATCTGTAGATAGAGAATGCATGAGATGGAGAGCTGAAACAGATGTGGGATTTTGCTGTTCCCTTTTGCATGTAAGTCTGAGTTAGGCTTTGAACCACTGTGTAGCTTTACATGAGGCAGTACAAGTAAATTACAGTAGGGCTTCCCATGAAACCACAAGGTAATTCACTTTCAGAGAACCAGTTTTAGCTCTGGACATGAGTGACCACAGTCTATTTGGTAGTATAACCTTGTAATACAACTTTACAATACAGCTAAACAGACATGACTACCATCTCCACTGATGTTTTGCAAATATTAACGTCCAACAGTCAACAGGAGAGATTTCAGGGTCTTAACTGAACACAAGTGGTACTTCAAAAATTCTCTGTTTGGGTGACAGCAACCCATCAGCTGTAAGCAATGGTAACTACACATGTATCCTGTAATAAACATGAAGGCAAGCATGCCTGTCTTCTTCCAGTCCTATGTCCTCATCATGAAAGACAGCGAAACAACGTGAACTTGACAGCAATAAACCTAAGACTGGAGAAGCGTGAGGTGATCACATTCTTATTCCTTGAGGTCATTTTCATAAAGAGTAAATGTTTCTAGGGCAGGAGAGTGCTGCATCCTTTCCCAGGGACTGTGACAGATTGTTTTCATTCATCCTACAGCCAGAAGAGCTCACAAGAAGGTTTTTACTTTTCTTTTTGTATGATTGCAGAAAATATAAAGTAACCTTGTAACTTGCTTAGCTCACTTGATCTTTTCAGTGCAGACACTGCTTGTGCGGCTCCCCAGTTGAAATTACTGTAGCTAAAATAACTAGCTTTCAAATTGCACCTTCACGATTGTGAGCATGAATCTTTGCTTGTCATGGACTATCTATAAGAAGACACACCACCAAAACCAGACTATAGCCAAGGCTACAGTCAACTAAAGGCACATAGAATAACTGAAGTCACTGTCATTCTAACAAGGCTGAAAACATGGCCCCAACTTGCTCTCTAGAGTCCTCATACTTACTAGGCTGATAGAGAAGAGCACGAAATTCATTTTGCATTCAAGAGGTAGGTTGCTTGATGGCATTTTTAATCTCAGCAAAAACAGAGTGTTCAAAAAAGAAAGATGTGTTCTAATTACACTCATCACGCTACCGTTCATTAAGAGCTACATTAACAAATGCCATCATCATTCAAAAGCTGTAAGTCAGGAAATCTTTAGGCACTGAAGCATTCGGCTTCTCCTCCTCCAGGGATGCTAATGTAACCTCTCAGTTGGTTTGTGCATGACTGATTCTAGAATACTGAGAAATGCAACATCACCAATCATTTAAGACAAATTATTTTATACCATTAATGTAAAACATAATTGTACTTTACTGAGACCGTTTGGAAACGTCTGCTTAGATAGTGGTCACAGACAAGCAACGAGGCAGGCAACAAAATTTTAATGGTCACCCACGTTGGCCCAAACACATCCAACAGATACAGCAGCAGGAATGCTGAACTCTGAATGCAGCAATCATCTTAAAAATCAACTGCCCCTGCTAGCACCTAGTCGAGAGAGCTTTGCAGCTGCACTGCTCAGATTCCAATAGCGAAACATTTTGTTCCCGAACCAGATAGGGTTGCTAAGTGACAGCAGCACACTTATCTTGCACATCATTTACAAAAGCCAAGTACTTAAAAACAAGGAAATGAATAGTTAAGCGTTCTTGAGGCTTGCATTTCTCACACAGTAAACGTGGAGCTGTTTCTGAAGGTATAAAAAGTATTCATCCCCACAACAAAACAACTTATTGATGAGTTTGATGCATTTTTACAACTGTGGTGCCTAAGTCCCTGAGTTTGATTTTCCATAAGATTGAAGTACCCAAAATGAAGGGAAGTGGCAGGGCTGTAGAAATTGTGGAGACAAACGGGCTTGCCAAGTCCATTCTTCAGTTACAACGTGTGGTAAATAGATATGCACAGACTTCCCTAATCACAAGAAGGCCGTGACAGAGATGGAAATGTTTGATCAGGCTCTTAATTTTCTTAACTATACCCAAGTGTAGTAACATTTTTCTTCACCAATTTTACTGACCAAAAAAAAAAAGGGTCTAGGTTTCCAATGACAGTAATTCTGTACGTACAAGAAAACTGACCCTTCACTTCACACTCAACACCTTACAATGCAGATGATCCGTTGAGCACCGTCGTAGATACTGGCACATGTGAAAGCTACAAAGCATTCCAAACGATGCCATGCTAATGTCACAGAAATACATAAAAGGTTTCTTCTTCCAGCATATACTCTTTCCAAATGCCATTCTGAAAGTCTTACTGATGTAATGCAAAATGTTTGCTTCAGAAGAGTTCTGGCCTTTATAATACAATCAAGGAATGTCTCTTGGAGCAGCCAGGCTATTTTAAAGCTGAATCAATGCAAACTTAAAGAGTTTGCCTTCAGCAATAGGGCAGATAAACATTTTGTTCAGTTCTCTGAGGTGAAGCTTGGGTCTTTAAAGCCAAATGTATACTTCATCAACAAAACCGTAAGTGAAAGGTGAAAATTTTTTGCAGCTGCTGATACACTCCAGCTACACGGAGGGCACCGAAGGGAGCTCTACAGTTTCACATTCACATCGCAGCCCAGAAAACTCAGAAAAATGAGTGGCATCAGGACTGCATTAACCAGTGAACATATCTGGAATAGTGGAAGGTAAATGGCTAGCGAGAGAACCAGGAGTGCAACCATACAAAACAGTCACCCAAATCACAGCCCATTAGACAAATTTAACTCCCAGTCATCTTTATAAACACACCCCAAAGAGAGAGGGAGATGGGGATGACAGGTCTGAAGGAAAACCAAATAATTGAGATGAATTGTTCATGACATATCTTAGTAGCCAGTTCCACATTCCCGTGGCAAAGCAGGTTTGCACAGTAATACACCTGAATTCCATCTTAGGGACCCTGCACTCCTTGAACAACTTTGCAGCTCATAATTCTCACGCTTACTCATCTTTACAACTTTATTTTAGTTGAAGAGAAAGTAATAGTTTTTTCTCCAAGCTTTTCTAGCTGAAAATTCTCATATCTTAGAAAATGGCAACCTGGAACATATCTATACTATTAACAGCCGATGCAAGTAACACATTTAGTCAGCATTTCAAATATGAAACTTCTACTCTTTCGCTCCCTCCTACCAAGAACTGCAAACACCTCCCAAGGAAAGCGGCACCGCTCCCCAGCTATTTGCACGGCTGATTTCACAGTCTCCCACCAGTTTCCACTGATGCTGACACAGTGAGGTAAACAACCAAACTGGAGTAAAGCTGCGTGTCAAAAGAAGAAATTATCCATTTTGTATTTGGAAGCCTTGGTACAGAATACAGAACAGAAGGGTCTGGTTTGGTTTTAGGCAAAACACTGAGTTTTGCTTCTTGATGTTCAAATGCAACTGTCAGCTAGTCTAGAGTAAAGCAAATCCTGCTCTTTCACTGTGTTCTGGGCTGGCAGACAGCATTTTTACAGAATAAGACATGAGTGGGTGTGCAGCCAGCGCTACACAAAGTTTAGTTAATGGCTAATCTGGCATTTGTTCAACTCTGCACTTCAAATGGTAAGACAGACAAACAACAACAACAACAACAACAACAACAACAACAACAACAACAACAACAGACTAAGCACCACCTCACTTATGTGGCTGATAAAAACGATCATGGTGTATCAGAAGTCTCAGTGTTCTCGTGAAAACTGGCATGTAGACATTTATCTATTATACAAGACAGCCGAGCACTGTCTGGCCGTCCTGTCTCATGTTTCTGGAACACAAATTGAGTTCAGCTAAGAACAAGCTACAAAAAAAATCTTTACATCACAGATTTGTAAACTATATAAAGCTGCCATTAACAAGAATCTGTTCCTGCAAAATGCTAAATGTTTCCAAAGTCTAAGTAACCTCCGGTATTTTGGAATAAAGTGTACGTAGAGCTGCTCAGCCTGTCTACTTGCCAGATGGTACAGGAACCTATGTATGTAGTTCTAAAACTCAGAAATAAACCACAGCTTGAGTTATTAACAGTGAGGAGAAAATATTTTGGTGCTTTGTGTGCTTTGCCTTACTTTCCTGAAAATATAAAAATCAGAAAATTATGGATAAAATGGATGTTTGATACATGAGCAAACACACATATGCCACCAGGAGTGACATAGTTCCCTGTCCAAGGTGGAAGCACCTGAACCCTTTCTATCTGCAGACGACACGAGCGCCCGTGTGAGCGAGCTTGGTGGTTGCACACAAGTTCCTCACGCTGCAAGCCAATCAGCACAAGGGATGTTCATGGCAACTGCATTGACAATCACAGCTACGTCTGCCAAGTACAGAACTGGCAGTGAAGAAATCACTGTTCTCCTCTCCCTGATGACAGTCACCAGCAGCAGAGCCAGTGCAAACTGGCCAGACTGCCAGTGCAAGGGCCAGACCCACTGCTGGTGCTACAGCATCGCTGTGGAGAGGTAAGACTCTCTTCTCTAGGGCTCTTGGATCTCATAAGCTTTAATCAACATTAAAACTGAGACATGACAACTCAATTTACACTGGCAAATGATTTACACTTCCCAGAGGAATTCTTTACGCCCCTACAGAGGCCAATAAACAGGCTAACCATCTCATGAATTGATTATTACACAGCCAAGACCTGGACAGGATACACTTCAGGACGCCGTAAGAAAGGGAGATTAAGAAGACAGGAGGAATGTTCTTCCCCAACACCACTGCTAGCAGCACAAGCAGCAGACCCTATTACACCTCCTCAACTGCAAACAGCAGGGCTGATGGAGTTGGTGGTGTTTGGCACAGAGCTCTCTAAGGCAGGTACCTGCTGTGAGAAGGCAGAGCTGCCCAACTCCTTGTACTAGGAGCAGGATCAGTCACACTCTTGCATTTTCCCATCACTTGGATCACAGGTCTTCAAAAGTCTGCAGAACAGCTAAGCAACAATCCTTCCCCTTCAAAGCAATCACTCACTGACAATTATGCCATATAGAAACTGCAGCCTAAAATAAAGCGAAAACAGAGATCCTGACTTGTCTTTCCAGATTGATATGGTACCTTTCTCCAGACAGTGTCAATGTCACAAGTAGCTTCATTAAAGCACAGACTGATAACACAGAGGCAGAAATCACAACACAGCATAAGGCTGTAAAACTTCTGTCCAGTTTCCCCCTAGGCACTTCTCTTTAAGACTGGAGACACAGCTTGTTTACTATTCTTTTCCCAAATTGAAATTACTCTAAAAAAATAGTAAACACAAAAGCCAGAGTAAAGTTACCAGAACACTGACTACAGGACTGAAAAGAAATCTGTCATAAACAAATACAGCACCACATAAAAATTTATGTTGGATGGAACCTATAGAGATCATCCAGCTACTGCCACTTCACTGCTGAAAGAAAGATAAACTTCAAAGTTCACAGAGGTTGCCTTGTCCAAACTAGCTTTGAAAAACACCAAGGACAGAGATTTCACATCCTTTCTAGGCAAGACAGCGCTTACAACTCTTACTTTGGAAATATTTTCCCTTATACGCAATCAAACATCTCTACTTATGGCCACTTCTGTGTCCTTTCTCTGTGCAACTCAGAGAAATGGTTGGCACCATCTTCTCTTTAACTCCATATGCAGCTGAAAGAAGCTGAGAGAAGTTCAGAAATTGCCTTCTCTGATTTAGCCTTTAAGGCTCAACAAACCCGGTTCCCCAAGCATCTCCTTGTGTGTTGGATGCTCCTGCACATTAAACATTTTAGAATGCTGCTGTGCTGGACTCCCTTTTGTTTGTAAACGCTACTATTTTCTGGATTATATCAGGTCATAATATTTCATTTAATAAAGGGTTAAACCACATAAAAGTCTGTAACACATCAACAATTATTGCACCCGATCATATGATGAAACAGTTGGCCAACTACATACCCTATTGCTCAAATACGAGAGCTGGATTTAAAAATACAAAAACAAAACAAAACAAAAAACGTAATAAACCCATGTCTTTTTGTGATTCAGGACCAGAATTGTTTGATTCTATAATCCTTTCACACTGCTCCACCAGCATAATCACCATCACCTGTGATTCAAGCGAATCCACTTGTTAGGGAGCCCTTATTCTGTGAGACTCTGTCAGACCAGTTCTGCAGGTGATGTGTGATGGCAACAAAACCAGTATCTGACAGACTAATAGAAAAGGGAAGATGCTCTAAAGCTCCTATAAACAGTTGTATCTTTAAGCAGTTACAATCATCCCCACAGAATTATGCTGTGCTCGTGAAAGAATGTGAAGAAAGAAAAACTACGACCTGTAGTCAAAAAAAAAAAAATCTATTTATTTAAAGCTCAATCATTACCTGGTCCAGTGGAACTTCTACACGAGTATCTTCATCTTCTTGAACTTCAACTGCTCCCAACATTTCAGATCGCTTTTCTCCAGCTTTGTAAATACCTTCATCTATGATGGGAAAAGATGCAGGGTGATAGAAAGTGAAGTCAAATTGTGACACTGTGTGGTACAACTACTGAACTGCACTCAATTACGTTTCAGAGGTGACAGACCATTCCCCATATAATCCTTCTAACAAAGTTTTCAATCTCCTGCTATTCTCAATTTGCTTTCCTTTCCATTATAATTGCAAATGCCTATATCCTGCATCACTCATGAAAGGGAAAGGAGATATACAGAGAAAATGAACAAAGCCCTGAAGTTCTCTCAGTTCTAAGTAAGGTCAGGAGTGAACCTGAATTTAATACATTACAACAATAACTTACTACTACTATATCTAATTCAATGACTCCATACTCAATGACTCACATCCTCTTGTAAATAGTATAATAACACTTCCCAAACCGGCAAAAACCTGAAGCCATGAATCAAAACCAAACACAGTGAAGAAAGACAAGACTAAAAGATTAAAAAAAAAAAAAAAAGGATTTGGGATTAATACAATCCCCCACACTCGAGCATATACGAGTGAAATTATAGCAGAAACTCTTTGTCAGGACTGTAAAGAACAATTTCAGCTTATAAGGTTAATGGCTCTAACAATACTCATATTTGCAAAGATTTTATATCAACATTAGTCTGAGGAACTTTTTTTCTTTCTTCTTTCTTTTTTTTTTTAAGTGTGAGCAGTCTCTAGGGATCCCAGTGATCTTGAGTACTAATGAACTAGGAAAGAGAAGATGGGTTGATACAGAAAACGACCAACCTCCAGGGGACGCATTTTGCTCCCCGCCATTGCCTCCAGCAGATAGGAACCCAGAAACTAAAAACACAGAGCTTTAGTCCAAATCATCTCTCCCTCTATCTGTTTAGGGAAGACACTTGGCCTTAGGCCATTGTATTCACATCAAACATAATGAGCAATTACGACATGAAAGGAAAATCAATTTGTGCTGCTTTGGCTGCCTCTCTGTTCTTCAGAAAAGGATGTGAACTTGCAAACTGATCTCCAGTGCTTGACACCAAAACAAAGTTGTCAGCCTTGTAAAACATGCAACCATTCACAGAACCACTGGGAAGGTAGAAAAAACACAATCAAGAGACTTAGAGAAATCCTGAATCACACCATCACAGAACGGTTAAGGTTGGAAGGGACCTTCAGAGATCATCTAGTCCAACCCCCTGCTCCAACAGGGACACCCAGAGCACGGGGCACAGGGCGGCATCCAGGCGAGTTTGGAAGACCTCCAGAGTAGGAGACTCCACAACCTCCCTGGGCAGCCTGTGCCAGGGCTCTGTCACCCTCACAATAAAGAAGTTCTTCCTCACATGGAGATAGAACTTCCTGTGTTGCAACTTACACCCATTATCCCTTGTCCTGTCACTGGCCACCACTGAGAAGAGCTTGGCCCCTTCCTCCCTACATTCTCCCCTCAGGTACTTATATATATTGATCAGCACCCCTCTCAGTCTTCCCTTCTCCAGGCTAAACAGGCCCAGTTCACTCAGTCTCTCCTCATACGAGAGATGTCCCAGTCACTTAATCATCTTAGTTGCTCTTCTCTGGACCCTCTCGAGAAGCTCCATGTCCCTCTTATACTGGGAAGCCCAGAACTGCCCCCAATACTCGAGGTGCAGCCTCACCAGAGCTGAGCAGAGGAGCAGGATCCCCTCCCTTGACCTGCTGGCAACATCCTCCTGATGCAGCCAGGATCCCATTGGCCTTCTTAGCCATGAGGGCACTGCTGACTCATGGTTAACTTGGTGTCCACCAGGACTCCCAGGTCCCTCTCCGTGGAGTCGCTCTCCAGCAGGTCAACCCCTAATCTGTCCTGCTGTCTAGGGGTATTTCTGCCCAGGTGCAGGACCCTGCACTTGTCCTTGTTGAACCTCATGAGGTTCCTCTCTGCCCAACTCTCCAGCCTGTCCAGGTCCCTCTGAATGGCAGCACAGCCCTCTGGAGTGTCGGCCACTCCACCCAGCTTGGCAGCTATCTACCATTAGAATCCATCTGCATAAGAAGTTATAGTTTTGACTAGTCTGAAAGTTTGTTTTCCAGTCACTTTCTCAACACGATGAGAAACAACGAAAGAGTTTACGCTGGAGTCAAAGCTCCAAGAAATACTCTACCATTGAAATGAAGAGGAAGGTGTCAAATTTATTTAGATGGCCATAAATATCAACTATCAGGTCATGTACAGGTACTAGTAAGTGAAAGTCATTTCACATTTTGAAATGGAGAGGCAGAATACAGGTAATTCATCAGGTTCCTTTCAGGCAGGGCAAAAGATGAACATGTCCTGGTGGAGGAGGCCAACTCTACAGATTTCATCCCGAGAGCTGATTGTCGATTTTAAACCACCTTAAAAGTGCACATCTGCCTAAGGGCTACGTTGAGTCACTCAGCAACTGAAGTCAACACAGGGAGAATGTTTTTACATTGAAAAAAAAAAAACCAAAACCCTTCACAAATCTTAATCATAAAACCAGGAGCATGGGGGAGGAGAGGAGAAAATAAGTTTCTAGCTGGATCATGCAACTGACTTTCTGTTCAGGAGATTATTCCCAAGAACCTAGTAATAGAGGGGTTCAATATGCAAAAAGTGAAATCTCCCTGAGTTTTCCCCTAATCATTTTCTATCAACAGTATGCTCCCAAAGGTGGTCATAAATGGAAGGAGATCTAGCACCTACCAAGGATACTGCCATTTATTGCATGTCTTATACAGAAAGCACTCTAAAGAACAGCATTTCTCCCCTTCCATAGGATAGAAACTACGGAAAGTGCTGAAACTACAGGGCAGGCTACAGCAGGAAGGGGTAATGAGCACAACAGCCTCCAAATATCTCAAGGACAGTGTCCTCAGGCAAAGTGGGAAATCATCTCATTTTCAGAACAGCAATGTTCTCTGCAGAAAACAAGTCATTAACAGAATAACATATTTCAAAGGTACAGGACAGAAGAGATCGTTAGTTGATTTCTAAGAGATGCAATAAAAGATTTATTGTTGGAAAAGGAAAAATATTTAAAGAAATAAGGAAATCAACAAGAAAAGGGAAATGAATTATTTACCCCTGTGCAAACATGAAAGCGCTGAAGATAAATGCCCAAAACACATGTACCATTAATATTCAGGAAAGGCAGAAAAACACTTAAGTCTGAAATGTGCCAGAACAGGTGAAGAAAAAAAATGACACCATCTGAAAAATGGGAAAGTCATCAGACAATCCAGGAACAAACCCAAATTTTCAAAGGAAATGCCAAGGAATCAACTTAGGCTTATATTAGGACATGTATCCTTCCTGTCTTGGTTCCAAAAGTGAAAAGAAACACAAAAGGTATAAAATGATGTACAAAAATGTGACTGGATTAAAAGGTATATTAAGAAAAACACCATTACCACTGCTGCTCTCTACTTTAGACAAAAGACATATTTACATTGTTTTCATGTTAATTTACAAATATGTAGAGGAGGTACAAAAACTGAAAGTCCAACATATTCTTTGTTTACATAATTCCATGCCAAGATGTTATCAGAAATTGGGTCATTCATCACTACTGTGGGTGCTGTGAGAGAGCTACTCAGCTCCTCCCAAGCAAATGCTGGATATTTTTGCTACATATTTTATAGGTAATATTTCAGAAATGCTTTTTAGTTTAGAAAAAAAAGCACAAAAATCTTTATTGATGCAATATTTCACATCTCTGTCTCATTAGTCAGTTTCTATAGACGTCTCTAAGGGAGGAAAAAAAACCCAAGGTATTTTAGAAACCTTAACAAATTACATGAAATAACACTTTTGTAAGTCACCATTCTATACTGTTACAGGCTTAGATTACAATATCTACTAAAGTTAGAAAAAAGTTCTATACCTTACTGAAAAGAGAATTCCCAGCACTTCCATTGGATAGAACATTTACATCTACCTCAGATGGTTCATAAAATACTGTAGATTAAACATGCTCCTCATACAAGAACAAATAATGACTTCTGTGCAAATTCTTGCAAATTGAAGCAACAGAATGTTGCCTGTGGCCACAGACCAGGGTCATGCTAAGATTGGGTTTGATGAGCTCCAAAAGAGGGCTTAAGAAAGGAAAATATTAGGCTCCAAGCCTTACAGACAAACTGTTGTCTTCTCCGTCCACTTCCTCCAGGTTGAGTAAAAGATGATGACAGCAAAGGATTCAGGGGCACCTTGAGCACCAAAACGTCCCCCTACACTTCTGTTTGCTGGCAAGTACACATCAGAGAATTTATTTCCAGGTAGGTTCTCAGTTCTCCCTCCCACATGAAGTGCTGCTTCAGTCAACAAGCCAACTAAAATATTATTGAGAGGCTCCTGATCTTATGTGAGGGCATTTTCCTGAGGTATCTTCCCAGAAGAGATGGGAAATTCTTCAGATTTTGCCAGTCACTGTCTGAGCTACAATCCATCACTGTTTCTTTGTACCCTCTGCAGAGAGAAATAAGGTCACATCACAAACACAGATACCATCTCCCATTATTTCTGATTAGTTTAAAGCTGAGCCATGTTCAGTAGCTCAGGCAAGAGGGAGAATGAGATGGACCGACAGATGAGAAGGAAATGTTTCATAAGAGGAAAAGGGAGCTCAAGAGTCCTGGACAACTGGAAGGAGCATAAGCAGAGGCCAGAGGATATGGTCACAGAGGGAGGTGATGAGGGCACAATAATGTGAGGAGGCATAAAAAGAATGAGAGATGGAGCAGGAGCAAAGAGAAAGGCAAGAAAACACACTGCTGGAAATTAGGGAAGAAACAGTGCAGCAGACTGTCAGGAAAGAGATCACAGGCAGCAAAAGAGCAGATGCCTGGATGGATACAGGGAGAAGAAAGAATAAACCAACAGGGATTTGTGTCAGTTTAAACTGCTGAGAGGATTTTTCCTTCAGGAAAGTCTGAAGTGAAATGTCATTTTTAAGTACCTACTTAGAGTTGAATTTGTTCTACATAGACTAGTTCTAATGTGCTACAAAAAGCAACAATA